GAAACAATGTCTATCCTACCGCCATCTATGATGAATCTAGACACAACTGCGCCACGTCGTTCTTGCGGGGTTTGCGTCTCTGCTACTACTGCTCAGAGTTTGCATCCTTGCTATTGTCGGCCTACCCATTACTTAAATTGGAATTAAGATATGTTTAATATTTAGTTTGATATATTTGTACAGAAGCAAGACTTGTTTCTGATTTATAAACAAATATATCAAATTGAAAGGGTGAGCATAGCCTTCATCGACAAAGCGGCAATCCTAGTACCAGATCACATCGTAAAGCATTACCTTCAGTTGTTGTAAAACTCAAATAAACTTCACAGTTATCTAGAGATCACAGAATTCCGAACACAACACTAAGTCATTCTCCGAGCCACGTTGTGCTCCATTATTGTAAAACAAAGATAAATATCACAGTTATCGCACTAGTTGAAAATGCTTATGATTGCAATTAAAAACATTGATAGGCTGAAAGATTGAAAATTGACGGAATAATCTTAACTGTAAAATACTGTATGTTCAGAGGACATCCTCTTAGGGACATATGTGCAAAACAAACGCATGCAAACAATCAGCTGATCCTCTGGATTTTTGGACGACGCCTCTCTGTGGTTGCATGTAGCAAAATCATTTTGGCGGGACAAAAACAATTTAAATGCATAACTGTCCAATCTATACTCTGTAATCTGTGCTCCTAGTCTTCTAGTCCATTGCCAGGCGAGCTGGACTTTTGCATGACTGCAGTGCCGTCCAGGTGTGCTGGAGGACGTCCACAGATGAACCGAGTGGCCGCCTTTGGAAACCCCATCGCCTAATGTGTTAAGCAAAATCTATACATAGAATGCTTGTGTGTCCCGCACCGCTTTCTCGATGTTCTTTTCATTTTGCACTGTTACGCTAGATCCACATTAGTGCACTATGTGCGGGTAAGGGCGAAACAAAGAGGGCCGAGCGGCTCTCTCGGACGCTCGTTTTCCAAGTCGTGCGGAGGCCTGACGGCCCCCTCACCCCCACTGGGCGCTGGAGCGGCTGTGGACAGCAAGAGGACCAGCTTAAGGGTGAGTGCTTCACCTCTAAAAGCCCGTTTACACGTTCAACCCATCTGAACGATTTGGCTTGCGCAAGCCAGATCTGTGCAGGTGAACTGAACGATTTGGCTTGCGCAAGCCAGATCTGTGCAGGTGAACTGAACGATTTGGCTTGCGCAAGCCAAATCGTTCAGATGGCTTGAGCGTGTAAACGGGCTTTAACAAGTGCCATTTAATATGACAGCAACTGTTTTCTGGCAGGGTTCGTTGAGCCGCGCCCTCGGCCTGGCGAAGCCCAAACTGCTCACGGATCGAGAGAAAACGTCGCCAACGTCCAGCTCAGAGGGGTCGTCGGTGATCAGTAGAATCAGCCCCCCTTTGCAGTATCTGGCGTGCAGGTCCTCCAGATCAGGGGGAGAGTCGCCCATTTATGCGCAGCCCTTCGCCCACGCCAACCCCAAGAATATCTACCAGCGGCGCTCCGAGGACTACGACATGTATGTCTGCAGGTAGCAGAACCCAACCAGGCTTGGTGTCTGCCGTATTAATCTACCAGTGTGTTTTTTCTTGCAGCTCAATTGACGAGGGCGACATTACGAGGAGCATTCAAAGCATTCGATCGGAGAACGACAGCGTGTCCAGAAAGGGTCCAGCTTTCGTTG